GGCATACAAAATTTACCATAAATTATTCAAAGCGGTTACGGTCTTAAAAACGTAACTGATCAATTGGTAAATTGCTAAAACGCTTAATTGCTTCCCGCATAATTACAAAAGCGCTGGAACACCGAGATCCTCAAGGTGTTGCCATTATTTGCCTCTACACGTACCAATGCGAGAAGATAAGAGAAAGGCTCCAACAAGAAAATCTACAAGTATCTGTGAACTCTGTAGATGCGTTTCAAAGCCGAGAGCACCGTTTAATCGTTCTTGTGACAACGAGCACTAAATCGCCTGGCTCAGCAGCTCGCGCAGATGCCTCTGATTTCTTGAAGGACAGCAGGCGTGCCACGGTTGCATTGTCCCGGGCACAAAGTGGATTAATAATTATTGCTGATTTTGAAGCAATACGAGAAGGCGAAACATGGAGAAGATTCATCACTGCGGCAAAACAACACACTCCCTTTGTTGACGAACGCTATTTAGAAGTAATGGAAAATGATGAACCAACACGCGACTCGAATGGAGTACTTAATGATTTAAAAGGAAAGTCAATTGAAGTTAAAGTGGAAGAAGTTAAACTAATACGTGGTGGTGAACTAAGAACAGGAAGAGGAAAAATGATTTGCAACAGATGTGGAAATCCCGGACATTTGGCAAGAGACTGTAGAAGAAGATGAGAAAAGAAGAAGAGGGAAAATGGAAGCACAGACTTGGGGCACATGGTAAAGCTGTAAATTGTGGTGGGTTTAAAAATAAAATAAAAATGAAAATAAAACAAAATTGAAAATTTGGGAAATTAGGAAAAGACCAGGGGACGGTCTTCCCCGGGGTTGGAGGTGTAAGGCGGACTTTGATCCGGATGGGCAAGGATGGAGAAAAGGAACTTTAGTTCCTCTGGGAAAGGATTAAATAAGGGGTGGAGATTGACAAATAAGGCCGTAAGATAAAAGCTAGTGGAAAATAGTGAAAACGGGATCAGTCGACTGTTCACCAGTCAGTTGGAAAGTAATCAATGTAAAGAAAGAATATCCTGCAGAAGAAGCTAAAAGCTTATATTATTAATTCCTTGCAAGCGCATATTATTCCCGGGCAAGTCGATCTCGTAATCGACCAGCAGCACCGGCGCATAGAAAGGCCTACCCTCCGCTCCGCAATATACTCATCGGCATCGCCTCTCGGGACCTTAACATCGCACGCAACCCGCCCAACATCCCAACACCATCCTGGCCCAGCACAAGCTTTACTCAAACTACATATGTATGTACATAATTTTTTTTAAATTAATGAATTAAATTTAAAAAATATAATCTATGAACCTTAATGGTTTTTAATATTTTTTTAAAAATATTGAATCTAAATTATAGCTACATGAAATTTATTTTTATTTAAAAAATAAAAAAATTTAACTGGCAAAGTTAATAATTTGGTATATCAGGTAGCAGGGGGGTTATATTTAACAGGGGGTTATCAAAATGCGAAAGGCCGAATATGGAAGTCGAGATGGCACACCCAGGATTTGTATGTAATACTGAAAGTCTTCCGAGAATATTAAGAGAAAAAAGTTATCAAGAAAAAAGAAATGTTTAGATTTTTAGAATAAAATTTTTTTATTCTTTTTCTATTTCTTATTTAAGTTTTTAAAATTATTTAAACAAAAAAATATTCAATCTTTTTTAATTAAATTAATTTTTTAGACAGAAATTATTGCCTTTTATGTATAATTTAAACAAACATTTAATATTAAAAAGTGCATACAATTATTAATAAAAAATAATTTAAATATTAAAGTTCATTTTTTAATTTAATTAAAAAAGAAAAATTATTTCCCAATTTTTCATTGTCAAGCTAACTAAATAAAACAATTGTTTAATAAGAAAGGCTTTTTAGAAACGAGACAAAATTTAAACTTTTTCTTTTTTTTCTGTACTTTTTATTTTAAAAAGTACATTTTTTTAATTTTGATTATTTTTTTCTAATTTAAAATAAAATAAATTTTTATTAAAAAATTAATCTTTAAATTAATAAAAATTAAATAATTATTTACCTTTAACAGCCAAGGTAATTCTAGCTTTTTTATTCAGAGGGAATAAAAATATGTAAAAAATTATTCTTTTAACAAACATAAATATATTTTTTTTCTTCAGATAATTAATGAACATAAAATGTATTAAATTTAAAAATATAAATCTTCTCAATTAAATAGCTTGTATTACCCTGTCAGCTAGCGAAAAAACGAATTTAACATAAATAAAATATTTTAACAAAAATTTATTAAACTTTTTTTGTGATAAAAATACTTTTGTGTTTAATAATAATTTCAACATAAATATTAGTAATTTTACTAAAAAATCTTGACTTAAAAAATTAGGTTAAAAATTTTAAATTATTAAAAACCAAATTGAATTTATTAAGTTGTATGGGCCGAATTGAACTACAAAGAGTGTAACGGATTCCTGTTCCCGTTTCAATAACTACGAAAATCCTTTTATGAATGAATAATATTCTTTCGGAAATATTATTATGCTAACGAATCCGAATCAGGTACACTAGCAAAATTAAAAAAAATATAAAATAGATTTAATTTTATTATGAAGAATGTTAATTTATATTTATCATTTTATTATCATTTTAAATCAAATTATATTCTTTTGTATTTCTTCCTTCAGATAATTAATGACCCTTAATTTTATTAAATTAAAAAAATAGAATGAATTGTTATTTATTTAAATCAAATAATTTTTAAGACAATTTAATATTTTCATTTATTTAATTAAAATGATTACCTTGCAAGCTTTCAAGCATAACTTTTCACTATTGAAACGATTATTATTGCCTCCACATCCTTTGTATTGGAATGACTTTAAAAATATTTTTTATTAAATTAAATTTAAATTTATTTTTACCTTACAAACTTTCTCTTTAGCTACATACCACCAACGAGGACCCCCTGCATGTCCACAAAATATTCCAACTTCTTTAGGTTCAAGACAACGCTAAAATAATTTTATCTGAATTATTTACCCTATACTCGGGGTTTTCACTTAAATTAACACGTGCCGGGGTTTCCAAATTAAAACCCAGATCCCGTCACTAGCTCGTCCCGAGTTCGAACATTAGTTATTTTTAAATTAAATACATATTTATTTATTTTAATTTACATCATTTTTTGGAAATTTTTTGGAAGTAGTTAAATTAATTAAAGTAGTTAATACAATTAATGAAATTATTAATTTTGACATTTTATTTAATTAAATAAATTTAATTTTAATGTTTAAGTTAATATTAAATTATCTAAATTTTAATTTCTTATATAATATTCAACATGGATCAATAAAAATAAATAAACAAGGAATTAAATAATGATTTTTAAATTTTTCTATTAAAAAATAACATTTTTTATTAATTAAAAAACAATTAAAAATATTTTATTTAACTAAATACTTTGTTTTTGACTGTTTTGATAATATAAAGTTTAACTTCCTTTAATAAAATAAAAAAATATTAGTAATTATTTGTTTAAAAAATTTAATATAATAAACTTATTTTTTATAAATAAATTTAATTTATATATAAACAATTTAAATTTAAATATTTCTAACATAAATTAATATTAATTTATATAATTTAAAATTAAAAATAAAATTTCATTTCTCTTTAAATAAAATGTCAAAATTCATAATTTTCTTAATTGTATTAACTACCTTAATTAATTTAAGTGAATGTAAAGTAGATGTAAATAAATAAATTTATTTATAATTTAAAAATAATTATTTATTTCTAGCGTTGTCGCCAACCTAAAGCTGAGGGAAATAATTGTGGAGGTACTCGTTGGTGGTATGTAGCTAAAGAGAAAGCTTGTAAGGTAAAAATAAATTTAAATTAAATTAAATAGAAAAATAATTTTTAAAGTCATTCCAATACAAAGGATGTGGGGGAAATCAAAACAATTTTAATTCTAAAGCTAGTTGCCAGAAGTCTTGCAAAGTAATTAATTAAATATGGTCATAAAATGTATAATTAATTAAATTTAGGGTCATTAATTAACTGAAGAATGGATGATATACAAGAATATGTATGATTATTAAAATATTTAATATATAAATTAACTTGATAAATATATTTTTTAAAAATAAAACAAAATCTATTTTAACTTTTTTAAAAAACCCTGTAAATAGCTTTCAATTTTTTCTCAATTAAAAAGCTTGTATTACCCTGCCAGCTAGCGAAAAGACAAACTTAACATAAAGAAATCTTCGGGGTTCGGTATCGGGGGTTTCGAGGGTCGTGTTGCTACCCTACATTGAATTAATAAGCCAAAAAGAATTCTAATTTATGAAATTTATGTTTATAGAATAGGTAATATGTATGATAGTAAAGAATTGTTAAGGTGTAAAAATTAAAGAGTTATTTCTTTAATAAAATACAGATTTGAGGAAAGTTTTACGAAATTAAAAAAATTTAAAATAAAAGAAAGAATTTAATAGCCAAATTAATTAAATAAAATCTTCGTTCTAAAATCCATTTTTAATAAAATCATCTTTAAATAATTATTTATTGCCCCATAATATGTATTAATATTTTTATTTTAAACTGAAACTAAAGTAGTTACACTTAGTGATGGAAATGAATATGTAAATGATCCTTCTCCCGTTACGTTAATATTATTTTGTTGTTGGAAATTTTTGCCTTGAGAAGTAATATATGAACTAAATGAAGATGGTAATGTTCCTCCATTAATTGAAAATTGTTCTGATATAGAAGAAGATCCCATATTTATTGCCACAATTACTACCTTTAAAAAATAATTAAAAATATTTTTAAAAATAACTGATAAATCTCAGTTTAGTATACCTTTCTATCCAATAACACAACTAATAAATTCTTTTATATTTAATTAAGACTATACTTATATGATATTAATTAACTAGATAATAATTTAAAAAATCCGAATAGTTTTTCGAAAAATTATAACTAATACACAACTAAATTAATTGATTAATTACCTTTCCATTCCCTGTGTATGCACTCACAAGCAAATTATTATTATTAGAACTGACAGAATTAACTCGAAAATATCCAGGCTTAATAAATTTTGCAAAATGTCCAATAACAAAAGCGTTAGGCGTTAATTGCCAATTTTGTTTTAAAAGCATCATAGTTATTGAATTACCCCTCAACCACCAATGAATATAGGCATTGAATTCAGCAATTGTCATACAATTGTGAATATCTTCGGCTGTTTTCATAACAGTATTAAAATCATTTCCATCAATAAAATGTTCGGTCATCCAAAATTGCTTTCCAGATTTTTTTACTAAAGGTTGGGGTTTCATAATAAATCCATATCCATGCATTGCATCAATATCAATTACGGCAGCTGATTGAGGGTCGTTCTTTAATTAAATTTTTTTTATTAAAATATTGTTTTTATTTTAGCTTAAATAATTTAGAAATTAAATTTAGAGGTAATTATTATTACTTATGTACAGTTAAGTAGTAAAAATAATTATTTGGGTTTTCTTATTAACAATAATTTTTTAAATTAAAAAAACTTACCAAAATTGCATCATTCATTTCTGTTCTATATCCATAAGATTCGGCTGCTATAATTTTTACATTACTTCCCGATTTAATTTTACTCGCAAAATTTTTTAAAAAATTTTTCATTTGATCTGGTGTAAAAGACATTGGATTACCAGCATAATCAGGCTCATTGATTATCGAAATTGCATAAAGAGGTGCACCATTATTTTTGAAATAATCAACAAAACTTTTTAAATAATCAGCATAATTGCTATATTGGTTAGAACTGAGAGAGCCTGGTTTGTCTTCTTGTTTATTTTCTTTCATATTAGCTGGAGCAGACCAAGGAGAGGCGAATACTTTGGCATTAAATTTTAATGCATTTTTGGCATTTGATAATTCATCATTCCATCGTTTATGTTCGTCAATTCGAATACGAAGGATTGAATAACCGAGAGTTCCAAATCTATAAATTTTAACAAATTTATGTATCTAAACATTCCTGCAAGTATTTATAAAATTATTAATAAATAATTATTATATTCGAATCTTATATACCGTAAATGCTGAAATAATGTCCCTCTCTCAAATAATTACCCCCTCCTTTTTAATTACCCCCTCCAGCGAGAGGTTGAAATACTAATTACCCTGGGTAATTATTTTAGCAAATACGGTATATTAAATAAAATTTCTTTGAATGTTAAGCATTTCTAGAGTCTTTCAGACACTCAGATTATTTAAATGAATAAAAAATCCCTTACAGTTCATTCATTGTCTGATTGGGTACTGCTCCATTCCAAGCTGAAGATGCACCGAATCCATCAATAACTTGGCGTTTTTCATTAAGATTAATAGTTACATTTCCATTATTACGGTCAAATTGCGACGAAAAAATTATCAAAAAAATAATTAAAAATATTAAATTTTTCATTTTTTAAATTTTATTTTCTAATAAATAATTGGGAAAGTTTAAATAAGAATTAATTAATTGAATATAACTAAATAAAATTATTATTTATATTAAATTTAAATATCAAAGATCTGTTTGAACAGGGGAAATTGTGAAACACGTTGAATATTATGCAAGCGGAATATTGAAACTGGCGAAAATTTTATAGCTGAAAAAACAAAGCCTTCGAGAAATATAAGAGAAAATTAAGAGAAATTAATAAAATTAAGAGAACCGTACGAGAGAACCTTCCGAAATAAAATTCTTTATTTGAAAATTTATAATTTCTCAACAAAGTACATAAACTTTTTTTAAAATTAATGAATTAAATTTTAAAAAATAATCTATGAACATTAATGGTTTTTAATAATTTTTTTTAGATTTTGATAGCTGAAAAACTTAAAGCCTTCCGAGAATATTAAGAGAAAAATTTAAATAAAAAAGTAAAATTATTTCCAAACTTTTTCATTGTCAAGCTAATTAAATAAACCAATTGCTTAATAAGATAAGTTTTTTAGAAGCAAAACTGAATTTTTTACCCAATATCCGGTTTTTCTCTTAAATTAACCTGTGCCGGAGTTTCCAAATTAAAACTTTTTAAATTAAATATTCATTTATCTATTTACATCATTTTTGGAAATTTTTTTTAATTAATTAAATTAATTAAAGTAGTTAATTTAATTAAAGAAATTATTAATTTTGACATTTTAAGCAATTTATTTTTAATTTTAAATTATTTAAATTATTAAAATAAGTTTATTAGAATAAATTTTTTAAATAAATAATTACTAATATTTTTTCATTTTATTGAAGGAAGTTAAACTTTATATTATCAAAACAGTCAAAAACAAAGTATTTAGTTAGATAAAATATTTTTAATTGTTTTTTATTTAATAAAAAATGTTATTTTTTAATATAAAAATTTAAAAATCATTATTTAATTCCTTGTTTGTTTATTTTTATTAACTAATATTGAATAATATATAAGCAATATAAATTTAAATAATCTAGCATTGAATTAATATTTAAAAATTTAAATTAATTTCTATTTAAATAAAATGTCAAAATTCGTAATTTTCTTAATTGTATTAACTATTTTAATTAATTTAACTACTTCCAAAAAATTTCCAAAAAATGATGTAAATTAAAATAAATAAATATTTAATTTAAAAATAATTAATGTTCAAACTCGGGCCGAGTCTGTGACGGAATCTGGGTTTTAATTTGGAAACCCTGGCACGTGTTAATTTAAGAGAAAACCCCGGATATTAGGTAAATAAATTAAAATAAAATTATTTTAGCGTTGTCTTGAACCTAAGGAAGTTGGAATATTTTGTGGACATGCAGGGGGTCCTCGTTGGTGGTATGTAGCTAAAGAGAAAGTTTGTAAGGTAAATAAATAGATAATAATTAAATTAAATTTTAATTTAAAGTCATTCCAATACAAAGGATGTGGGGGCAATAATAATCGTTTCAATAGTGAAAAGTTATGCTTGAAAGCATGCAAGGTAATTTTAATTAATTAAATAATTACTTTTTCTACTTTCTTATTAATTTAATAAAATTTAGGGTCATTAATTATTTAAAGGAGGAAATACAAGAATATTTATGATGATAAAATATTTAATATATAAATTAACTTGATAAATATGTATATTTTCTGCAAATGAAACAAAATTTATTTTAGGGTTTTTTAAAAAACTTTGTAAATAGCTATTCAATTTCTTCTCAATTAAAAAGCTTGTATTACCCTGTCAGCTAGCCAAAAAACAAATTTAACATAAAACATTTTAACAAATTAAAATTTATAAATCCTGTTAAATATCCTCCCTATTATTTTTGTCCTTTCTTTTTTATGTAGATTTTTGAAATTAATTGTAATAATCTGCAACCAATTTTATAAAATAAAAATTTTTTAAATCGTCTGAAATTTAAACAAAGATTGATGTACATACCTTTCAATTTAAATATTTTTGGATTTTCATAAGCATTAAAAATTTACACAAATATTTTAATGAATCATTTAATAAAAAGTAAGTAATTAATAATTTAAATTAATAATTAAAATTTAATATTAACATTTATTTTAATTTTAAGTATTTCTTTAATTTTTTCTTATGATAGCAAATCCTCTAAGCTTTAACGTCGTCCCTTAATTTTTTAGTTTAAAATTATTTTTAAATTAATTTCTTCACCTTACAAGCAAATTCACAAGTTTGTTGACTCAAAAAATTATTACAATTTCCATTACATCCATTAAAATTGAATGACTATAAATTTGTTGAAAATAAATAAAGATTTTGATTTTTTTATTAATTAGAAAATATTATTTATTTAATACTTTTATGTAGGAAAACAAAAAAGAAATATTTTAAAATATTCAGGAACTTTAAATAATTATTTAAATATCTTCCCTATTATTTAAATTAATTAAAACCCAACCCTGCAAGCATTCTCCCTAGCTACAAAATGCCAACGAGTTACAGATCTACGGTTATTTCCACAAAAAGTCCCAATTTGACTATTTTGGAAACAAAGCTGGGGCTAAAATATTTTTTTTTATTTAAAAAATAAAAAAATATATTTTATTTTACCACACTTCCCCCTTGCCCAAAACTAATTTCAAAAAATACAGAAATTAATATTAAAATAATAATTAAATTTTTCATATTTTTAAAAATAATTTTTTTAATAAATAAATTTAAAATAAATTTCAAATTAAATATTTTTTAATTTATATAAAAATCTTTTTTTTCTCCATTATTCATTATAATCACTTACTCATTAAATCAAAGTTTTAAATAATATAAATTGATATTAATAAAATTCTAAATGTCAGAACATTTAAAAATATTTACAAAAAAATATTGGAAAAATTGCTAATTATTTTTAAAAAATTATTTTAATTTTTGATTTCTGTTAATCTTTTTTCTCTTCATAAATATTGAAAATACTAAAATTATTCAACAGAGAGTAATTTAAAGTTAAAGAGAAAACAAATATTTTTCCTGATTGTTTGTTAAAAAGACAAAAAAAAATTTTTGTTCAAATTAGTAAAAATGAAAATTTAATTTAAAAATGAATAATTAATTTAAACAATAAAATTTCCAGCTGTTTGTTAATTACACTTTTCAACATCACTTTTTAGTATTAGATAATAGATTTTTGTTCTAAAGTTTTCGAGATAATGCCAGTCCTTTCAGTAAAATAACTTGCTTGCTGGCAGGGATTAAAAGACGGTTAGAAATAATTTCTGTCATTTTTTCGAGATTATAAATAATTAATCTGAATCGTAAAATTGGAAAGATTTCGAGATTTTTAGTGTAAATTGATATCGAAAGACACCATTTCTACACAAAGTATTTTTATCAAAAAAAGAGTTTATAAATTTTATTTGTTAAATTTGTTTTTTCTTCAGCTGACAGGGTAATACAAGCTTTTTAATTGAGAAGAAATTGAACAGCTATTTACAAAGTTTAAAAAACCCTAAAATAAATTTTGTTTTATTTTTAAAAAATATATTTATCGAGTTAATTAATTAATTATTTTATTAATAATTTCATTATCAATTTATTATTTTATTATTATATTCTTGTATATCATCCATCCTTCAGTTAATTAATGACCCTAAATTTAATTAAATATATTTTTTGGACTAAATATTTAATTAATTACTTTGCACGATTTCTGGCAACTAGCTTTAGAATTAAAATTGTTTTGATTTCCCCCACATCCTTTGTATTGGAATGACTTTAAAAATTATTTTTCCATTTAATTTAATTTAAATTTATTTTTACCTTACAAGCTTTCTCTTTAGCTACATACCACCAACGAGTACCTCCACAATTATTTCCCTCAGCTTTTGGTTGGCGACAACGCTAAAAATGAATTAATTTTTAAATTAAATTAAATATATTTATTTACATCTACTTTACATTCACTTAAATTAATTAAAGTAGTTAATACAATTAAGAAAATTAGGAATTTTGACATTTTATTTAAAGAGAAATGAATTTTTATTTTTAATGTTTAAGTTAATTTATGTTAGAAATATTTAAATTTAAATTGCTTATATATAGTAGGGATTAATAAAAATAAACAAGGAATTAAATAATGATTGTCAAATTTTTATATTAAAAAACAATTAAAAATATTTTATTTAAATAAACAAATAAATCTTAATTAAAAATACAATATTATCAGAAATAGCTATTCTCATGGTGTTAAAATTTTCCCGACAGGAATGACATCGGGATCGTGAGACCAAAAGCTCAGGAAAATTCCTCGATTCGGGAATCGAGATACCCGAACATCACTAAACTAAAAAAATATATTTTTTAATTATTTTATTGAGGAAGTTAAATTTAAAATCATCAAAACAAACAAAAACAAAATGTCAAATGTTATTTGTTTATTTAAATATTTTTAATTGTTTTTTTATAAATAAAAACATTTATTATTTTTTAATATAAAAATTTGACAATCATTCTTTAATTCCTTGTTTATTTTTATTAATCCCTACTATATATAAGCAATTTAAATTTAAATATTTCTAACATAAATTAATTTAAACATTAAAAATAAAAATTCATTTCTCTTTAAATAAAATGTCAAAATTCATAATTTTCTTAATTGTATTAACTACTTTAATTAATTTAAGTGAATGTAAAGTAGATGTAAATAAATAAATAAATAAATATATTTATAATTTAAAAATTAATTATTTTTAGCGTTGTCGCCAACCAAAAGCTGAGGGAAATAATTGTGGAGGTACTCGTTGGTGGTATGTAGCTAAAGAGAAAGCTTGTAAGGTAAAAATAAATTTAAATTAAATTAAATGGAAAAATAATTTTTAAAGTCATTCAAATACAAAGGATGTGGGGGAAATCAAAACAATTTTAATTCTAAAGCTAGTTGCCAGAAATCGTGCAAAGTAATTAATTAAATATTTAGTCCAAAAAATATATTTAATTAAATTTAGGGTCATTAATTAACTGAAGGATGGATGATATACAAGAATACAAAATACAAAATGGATGATATAAAAATTTAATAATAAATTGATAATAAAGTTTTAATTAAATAATAACTAAATTAATTAACTTCCTAAATATATTTTTTGAATAAAAAAACTATGTAAATAGCTGTTCAAATTCTTTTCATTTAAAAAGCTTGTATTACCCTGTCAGCTAACGAGAAAACAAATTTAACATAAATGAAACATTTAACAAATTAAATTTATGAAACTTTTTTTGATAAAAATATTTTGTGTGGAAATGGTGTTTTTCGATATCAATTTACACAAAAAATCTCAGAATCACTCAATTTTACGATTTTAATTAGTATAATATATTTTTAAAAATAAAACCAGATTAATTGTATGTAGTTTTTTCTCAAAAGGGTTGGAAAATTAAAGAGAAATTCCCCTTAAATTGTTGAATATTTGCCGCGTCTCTTTTATTTTAAAAATTTTAAAATAAATCAAAAAATTAAAAATCAGGTTAACCTAATTTATTTTTCTTTAATCAAAACAAAAAATCGTTGGGTAATTCTCCAACTGCCTTTTTCTAAATTATGATTAAATTCTTCGGAAAATTTAATTTCAAAATATTTTCTTTATTTTTTTGGTTAAATGAAGATTACGATGAAATGGTGTGGCTGATATTAAATAATCTAAGAAGGATTTTTAAGTAATAATTTAATGAATCTGTTTAGTTAAAGAAGATGAAAAAAAATTAATAATCGAAAATTATATATTTATTTTGAGCATAAAACATAACTAAAATAACAATAACAATTACATACAAATAATTTTTGTGTGGAAAAAACAAATATACAATCAAAATATTTAGATATAATCAAGAACAATTTTAATTTTTATATTTTCATCCTTTAATTCTCAATTATTTCTTCTCTTCATTATTCCCTTCTTCCCTACAAAAACAATACCAAAGGAGAACACCAACAACACTAGCAAGCCTTTAAATATATTTAAAAATAATTTGAATAGTCTAAAAATTCTTACAAGACAATATTTACAGTAATCAAGGCAGCAGTAATTAATTCATCCGACCCTGAAGATCGTGAAGGTTTGGGTCTTAAATAGTTCCAAGTTTCTTCGACAGGTTCCTCTGTTGTTTCCTCTGTTGTTGGTTCTTCAGTTGTCGTTATTCCAATTGTTGTCTCAGTTGTTTCCTCTTTCTCGTTTATTAAAAGTCTGTATTCTTGTCCACTCTTAAATAAATTTTGAATTTGAAAATAATTCTGATTAAACTCACAAATTTAATTTCAATTTTGCAATTGGGTCCATCCAGGGCCGAATTCCTTTTAATATTATTTCCATCACGCTGGCAAGAAGCTCTTTGAGGGAGAAGGTAGAAAGCAAACAATCTATCGTAGCGAGAACCTCCACGACTTTTATCTTCAATTTTCCAAGTTATCGGTTCAATTAATCCTTCTTCGTCTATTATTTCATCATATCGATGTAAACATACAAAATCGCATCTCGAGGTAGACAAGTAACAATTTCTTTCAATCTTCTCTATTTTGAACCAATAAAGGCCATCATCAACACGGACATTAATTTCAGACTTTAAATTGTTCACACGATCTTTCTTGAGAGGACATTCACAAACAACTGGCTCACCTACTGTAAAATTGGTGTGTTAAAAACTTTGAAGGGAAAAAATTATTTCTTTACCTGGTTGCATGCCAACATGAACTTTATCTCCATTATATGCCCAACCAAACTCTAATCCACCAGGTTTCAAGCATTCTCCACCACGTTCGCGGCACCCATCCTTCTTATCACAAGAAATATCCCCCTCGTAGGGTCCTTCTTTTAACTTTTCAAACCGTTCAAAGCCAATGCTGTATGCAAAAGGAACCCTTAAATTATAATAGTTGATGACTTTTAAGAACAACTTTTTCTTACAAATTGGCATTAAATCCATCGGGCATTGCCTGAAGACACTCTTTAATCTCTTTGTTGTCATTACTCAAAGTCGCGTTGAATTCGAACTTATAAGTGAAATATTGTTGTAAAAAATCGATGGCACACCCAGTCTCACGAACGGAGTTGTAATTTAGAATGCTTAAAAATACATTTAACTTTAACTCTTAGCACTTCTTTAAACTTACATATCCCCATTATCATCAAACTTTACATCGCAAGCATTCTCCGTTCCTTTGTAATCTTCTAGGTCTTCGTTGCTATTTGCAATACGTCGTGCTGTGCCAATTTGCGTGATTTTGTTGTCAAACATAGTGTGACGACCATAACCAACAATTGTAGTCTCTTCTGACATAACACAATTGAAAGAAGTCCAAATAGCCAGAAGAATAACTAGAAGAGCTGTCACACGAAGCATTGAGAGAAGAAAAAGTTTTTTTGTCGTAATAGGATTTGAAGAAGATTGATAAAATATTTTAAAATTTTAAGCTTTTTATACAGACTTTATCTATAAATAAGAGCTACATTGTTTGAATGTTGTTGTTAATTACCTATTTATGTGCTTATTTTGATAAATATTTTATTATTTTTTATTAATTAATTCAAATTAAATCGTTATAAGAATACTTTAATGCAATTTAAGGTCATTAATTATCTCAAGGATGTTATACAATAATAATTAATTTGGTAATTAATTGATAATAAAATGTTAAATATAAATTAACTTTTCGAATATATTTTTAAAACAAAATTAAATTTATTTCAGTTTTTAATTAAAAATTTTCATTTCTTTTATTTTAAAATTAATTTAAAATAATTTACTCCTTAATTATTAAGACGCAAAAATAAATATTAACTAAAAAATTAAATAACAAATAATATTTAAATTTATTTTTAATAATTTGTTCTCAAAAAATTTTGTCTAAAAAATCAAAAATAATCTCAAAAAAATTAGAAAAAAAAGAAAAAAAGAATTTTCATTAAATTGTTAAATATTTATTTTTCTCCAAAATTTTCTTTCAAAGTTCTATAATAAATGATAAATCAGGAAATTTACATTTAACTCTAAAATCAAGATTAACAGTTTAGGTACTTGAATTTATTTAAAATAAAGAGTCGTTGGGTAATTTTCCAACTTACTTATTTTTAAATTAGAATTAAATTCTTCAAAAAATTTAATTAAAAATATTTTCTTTATTTTTTTGATTAAATGAAGATTAAGATGAAATATTGGCTGATATTGAATAGCAGTTAAAGAATAATAAATGGCATTATTTAATTTTATTTTTCATTAATTTCAGTAATCCCAAATACACATTTACTAATATGTATTTTCAATAAATACATAATTATTCTACAAATGTATAAAAAAATATTTCTTAATTTTATAAAATTTAATTAGTATTTTATCTAAAAATATCAAAAAAAAAGGATTTTCTAATTTCCAATTAAAATTATATATTTATTTATTTGAGCATAAGCACAAATATTTAACAATTATGTATAACAAGGAAACTAATTTTTATAAGAACAAAACATCGCAAATTCTTTAATAGAACCACATTTTCTTATAAATATCCTTCAATCCTCTCGAGGTTAAAAAGTCTGCTTATTGTAGAGTGTGTGGTTATATTAAGGGATTTACTAAATATTATCAACAATAGTTATATTAATCAACAACAATTTTAATTTTTATATTTTCATCCTATAATTCTCAATTATTTCTTCTCTTCATTATTCCCTTCTTCTCTACAAAAACAAAACCAACAGAGACCACTAACAATAATGACAAACCTATAAAAAAATATTTAAATAATTTAGATATAACTTAGAAATTCTTACAAAATAACATTGACAGCAATCAAGGCAACGGTAACGAATATATTACTCTTTGAAGTTGGCGAAGGTTTGGGTCTTATAGAAGGTTGCAAAGAAGTTGAAGTTGGCGAAAGTTTGGATGTAGGTGCGGACCAAGTTTCTTTGGCAGTTCCCTCTTTTGTCGTTGTCTCAATTTCCTCAGTTTTTGTTCCCTTAGTTATTGTTTCATTATGCTACGCTTACATAGTAATCGCGCGCGACACGCGACATTCGCTAGGCGACACGTCACCGGCGGAAGTCGTATTTTATGTAAGCACACCAAAAAAGCGACAAAATCGCCCGCGACTTTCTTTCTTCTTTTCCTTTATATTTTCTGTCGCAAATCGCGCGCGATTTTTATGTAAGTGTAGCATTAGTTGTTGGTTCCTCTGTTGTTGGTTCCTGGGTTTTTGCTTCCTTTGTTATTGGTGCCTTTGTTGTTGGTTTCTTTGTTGTCGTCTCCTCTTTCTTGTTTACTAAAAGCTTATATTTCTGTCCACTCTTAAATAAATTTTGAATTTTAAAGTAAAATTACTTAAACTCACAAATTTAATTTCAATTTTGCAATTAGGTCCATCTAGAGGGGAATTCCTTTTAATATTGTTCCCATCACGTTGGAAAGAAGCCTTTTGCGGGAGAAGGTAGAAAACAAGCAATTTATTGAACGCGAAATCTTCATAGATTCTATTATTAAGTCTCCAAGCTATTGGTTTAATCAATCCTTCTTCCTCTACAATCATATCAAGTCGCCATAAACACACAAAATCGCATCGTGAGGAAGAATAGCAATTTCTTTCAAAATTCTCAATATGGAACCAAAAAAGGCCATCATCAACATGGACATCAATTTCAGACTTTAAATTGTTTACATGATCATCCTTGAGAGTACATTGACACACAACTGGCTCACCAACTGTTAAATTGATGTGTTAAAATTTAAAAAGAAAATTATTGTCTTTACCCGATTGCATACTCGCATGAACTTTATCTCCATCATATGCCCAACCAAACTCTAATCCGCCAGGTCTCAAGCATTCTCCACCACTTTTGATGCACTCATCCTTCTTATGGCAAGAAATATCATCCCCATCGTAAGGTCCTTCCTTCAACTCTTCAAACCGTTCAAAGCCAATACTGTATGCAAAAGGAACCCTTAAATTTTAATAGTAGATGTCTTTTAAGAACAATTTTCTCTCACATATTGGCATTAAATCCATCGGGCATTGGCTGAAGACATTCTCTAATCTTTTTGTTGTCATTACTCAAAATTCCTTTGAATCCGAACATAAAATCGAATTTCTCTATAAGATCGATGGCACACCCAGTCTCGCGAACGGTGTTGTAATTCAGAACTCTTAATATGTATATGTAGTAATTAAAACTTTTAACAATTCTCTAAACTTACATATCCCCATTTTCATCAAACTTTACATCACAAGAATTCTCCGTTCCTTTATAATCTTGAAGGTCCTCGTTGTTTTTCGCAATATGCCGTGCTTCGTTAAGACTCTTGATTTTGTTTCTTACCAAAGGGTGACGACCATAACCAACATCAACATCTGACATAACACAATTGAGAGAAGTCCAAATAGCCAGGAGAATAACTAGAAGAGAATTAACACGAACACGAAGCATTGAGAGAAGAAAAAGTTTTTTTGTTGTAATAGGATTTGAAGAAGATTGATAAAATATTTTAAAATTTTAAGCTTTTTATACAGATTTTATTTAAAATTAAATAAGGGCTACATTGTTTGAATGTTGTTGTAAGTTAATCATATACTTATCTGGAGCCTCAAACTTGAAATCCTCAACTTCCTTTAAATTATTTTTTCAAGTCTTGAATCAAGCTCGTTTCCGGAGCTTGTTTATTTATTTAGATTCGAGATTAGCATTATACAACATATTCGTTAGTCGAGGCACCTGACTACTTACCATCAGTGTTTATTATTTCTATGTATATTATTTTTGTTGAATGTTCCAAATAAATTTTTAAAAAATATTTTAGCATTTTAATATGAAAAGTTAAATAAAGTTTATGACATTTATAATATTTTTATCAAATATTATAGTATTTCTTATTAATTAAATACTAAAACTGACTAAAAAAATATTTTTTTATTTATTTATTTATTTATTTATTTAATACGTAAATTAATACGCGTCCACAATTAAAAAACAACAAATTAAATTCAATAAAATACAGTGTCATTATTGGAAATTATAGGTTAGGTGGGAGTATTATTAGAACGAAATTTGGAAAAATTAGAAATGCTGAGTTTTTTTTTAAATTTATTTTCAAAGACTTCAGTGATTAGTATATGTAAATAATTTCTAGACATTTAATTTAATACTTCTTGTTTTTTTTTTTTGAATACAATGTCAAGTTAAGCAGCAAAACCCTTACCGAATTAGTGTTAAGGAAGCCTATTCTGACCGAGCTACCAGATGAACTGGCGCTCATCAGCGTTGGCTGATGTGCGTGCCTCTTCTTGCCGAGCTACCAGATGAACTGGCGCTCACAAGCGTTAGCTAGATGCCAAAGCAGACAAGATTACATTGCTGTAATCCCCGTGGCCCAATCGATAAAGTGCAAGACGATTGTTAGGCACATTGAGGGGCAAAATGGGTATTCGGCAGGTATTTTGTGTGCTTAATATATATTGTTATGAAATAGAAATTTTTTTCCAAGTAGATAATAGTATTAAATTAATTTATTTTGTAAGTTTTAATCCAAATTACTGAAGTCTCTTTTTTTTTAAAACGATTCTTTTCCTCAACAACTAATTTAAAAGGGAAAAATTTCAAATAAAATTTATGTATTTTTTGAAAAAATTTTCTGAACTTCTAAAAAAAATTTTTTTTTTGAAAATTTTTCTAAACTTCTTTTTATCTCTGTCAGTTCATTTTGCTAGAACAAAACAAAATAAAATTAGAAGCTGATCTCTAAATTGAAAAGTGATAATTATTTTTTTAATTAAATTATGTTAAATTGACTTAATTTAATTTAAATTTTGATTGAGGAAAGATCGATTTTATTTAGACAAGTACGAAAATTTTGTATTTTTTTATGCTTAAAAAGTTCATTAGGAAGTTTTGGATATATTCTAGCCATTTTTTCAAAGAAAAAATGGTGCCTTAAATTTAAGTTTGAATGTGAAGAATTAATTTTTATTTGATTTCTGGTATTTGACTTAGTTAATTTGGGATAATGAGATTTACCTATGCTTATGTATCCGTGAATTATTTTGTGATAACACATAATATCATTAATTAAAAATCTATCTTTAATGGATTTAAGATTTAAAATCATAAGGAGATCTTCATATGAAGGTTTAGTTGGATAGAGATTCTGAAGTCCGCGGAAATATATAATTTTAACCGCCATTTTTTGTACGTCTTCAAGTTTTTTTATTTCTGATTTGAGGTAAGGGTTAAATAATTGAGAAAATGATTCTATAATTGGTCGTACATAAGAAGTATATGCTTTTGTTAAAAAATTAGGATCATTCGATTTAATTGCTTTGAAAAGTGTGAAAAGTCGAGTGTAAGCTCTTTTTTTAATATAATCAATATGAATAGTCCATTTTAATGAAGATGAGGTTAAAATTCCTAAATCGCGAACAAAGGAAATTATTGGAGTAATCTTGTTATTGGAAATATAGTAAGGAAATTTAGAGTTATTTTTGCCCAAATAAAGGACATTGCATTTTTTTGCTGAAATTTCTAACTCGTTTTCAGCTGACCATATTTCAATTTTTGAAATACAATTTTGTAGAAGAAAACGTTTGTTACAATTGGAATGGATTAAATATGCCTTAAAATCATCAGCAAAAAATTTGAAAATTATATCATGTGTGGCGCAGAATTTGACTAAATCATGGATGAAGAAAATAAACAAAATAGGGCCAAGGACAGAACCTTGAGGGACACCCATATTACTTGTATGATTTTCAGAAAAAGCATTATTTATTTTGACAGAGTAGGTACGATATCTTAAGAAATTTTCAATCCAAAATAGTAGTGGATTACCTATACCTATATTTGTGAGTTTTTTTAATAAAATAGTATGAGAAACTTTATCAAAGGCTTTTATGAAATCAAAGTAGATAATGTCAACACAAAGATTTTCATCAAGAGCCTTAGTCCAGTCATCATGTGCTTCTAATAGTTGAGAAACAATAGATTTAGATTTAATAAATCCATGTTGAGATGTAGGTAAATATTTTGTTATGCGTACAATTAAGTTATCTTTAATAATTTTTTCCAGAACTTTAACTAAGGTACAAGTTAAGGCTATAGGTCGATAATTAGATGCTAGTGATTTGTCACCTTTTTTAAACAATGGTATAATGTTTGAATGGGTCCAAATAGAGGGTAAGGTGCCTGTCATCATTGAGTATCGAAAAATTTGAGTTATAGGTTGAGTTAAGCTACCTGCACATTTTTTAAGAATGTAATTATTTAGGCAATCGGGTGAGGTGTTAACTTTAAGTGTTAATTTTATCAATTTATCGAAAACATCAGCTTCAGAAATATCAATGTAATTAAGAGTGTTAGTATTTAAATTTTGTAAATTTAGCGGGTGAGGCAAGTTTTGTTTGTGAAATATTGATTTAAAGTAAAGTGCAAAATAATTTGCTTTAGCTAGATCGGTAGAGAAAACATTATTAGTTTTAATGTCAAGTATGGTAGGAATATTAAAGGAGTTAGACTTAACTTGTGAGGAAATATAATTGAAAATTCTTTTGCTATTTTTACTTTTTATTAATTTATTTTCTCTGTATATTAAGTATTTTTTAAGTTCTTTATTAAATCTTTTATTGACGTAAAGAAATTTAGATTTTATATCTGCTTTATGTATATCCTTCCAGAGTTGAGCACGATAAGTATCGATTTTTTGCAAATGATTTGGAAGATTAAGAGATGAACAATTTGTAATAGGAATGAAATTTTCAATAAAATTTTTTGTAATCTGGGTAAAAGTAGAGTATATTGTATCTAAATTGTGCGGAAAGATAGATTTAAAAATATTGTTCCAGTCCGTATTAGCAACAGCATAGTTTAATGAATTGTAGTCTCCTTTTAAGTAATTTAATCGATAGTATAATTCAGATGGTTCATTTTTAAAGGTGACGGAAAATGAAAAAGAGGAGTGATCTGATGAAGACATAGGCGGAAGGGACAGAATGTCATCTATTAAACCAGGATTGTTAGTAATTAAAAGGTCTAATATATTTTTTGATCTAGTGGAAAAAGTAATTAGCTGATGTAAATCAGCATTTTTAACAAATTCTTTGAAAATATTATTGCTATCATTATCAGCTAGCCAATTAATTGAGGGGAGATTAAAGTCACCGGTAATAATTATAGGGTATGAAACTGAGAGTAGATCAGTTAGAATAGAAATAAGATCAAAAAGAATAATATCGGTAGTTTTTGGCGGTACATAAGCATTTATGAATCTCATTTTATGTCCCAAACCGTTTATTATATCGAGGCAAACAATCTCAATGTTTTTTAAAGTTTTTTTTGAAAATTTGATTAAATTGACCGAAAATATGTTGGAAATAATAATAGCTACGCCACCACCTCTGCTCTTCCTATTATGTCGAAAAATAGAGTAAGGAAGATTTTTTACCAATAATGAGTCAGGAATATCGTTAGTTAACCAAGTTTCTGTAATAAGGATTATGTTATATTTATAGGATTCAAGTAAAAAATGTAAATCATTTAATTTGTTTTTGATTGATCTTGCATTAAAGTAAATAATTTTAACACGTGGTCCAGGGTAATTTATTTGTTTAAAGAAACTTGGTTAAAAGCGCGAACGATTTTCCCCTTGAAAATTTTCCAAGGGGGTTCGCCGACATTTAATTTTGAATTTTTATCTCTACATTCCTTACGTAACTCATAGTCATGCTGACGCTCTTCTTTAGTCTGTGATGGTCGTAAATATACGCCAGAGAAGTCAGAAATATTACGAAGTGATTTAGAACGAGAGAGGATAAGGCGTTGGTGGTATGTTGTTGGCATCACCACTTTAATTGGTCGACCTTTCCCGTCGTTACGAGGCTTCCCCATCCGATAAGTTGTTATGGGATTAGTGGGAATTCCAAGAGAATCAATAATTTTATTTATTTTATTTGTGTCGTCAATGAAATTCTCTCTATCATTATTACCCTGAGATTCAGAAAGACCGACTATGACTATCGATCGTGCTTTTTCTTTATCATCAGGGGATAATGGAGGATTTTCATTTTGAAGCTTTTTTTCAATATTAGTAATGGTAGTTTGTAATGCATTAATTTGTTCGGATTGTTTAATTACGAGATTTACAAGTAGATTGATGGTAGAAATTAAATCGATATTAGGGTCAGAAGTATTAGGGGACGAAGGAGAGATACCAATTGATGTCAATTTATTACGAATCGTAGTCAAACGAGAATCTGAGTCATTATCTGAATCAGTTTTCTCTTGACACGAACGTTTTCTATTTTTATTTGGGAGAGTCATTTTTATTTTTTTATTGATTAGTTTTGAAAGGAGTTTACATGATTTTTTGATTAGTTTTGAAAGGAGTTTACATGATCATCCTTGAGAGTACATTGACACACAACTGGCTCACCAACTGTTAAATTGATGTGTTAAAATTTAAAAAGAAAATTATTGTCTTTACCCGATTGCATACTCGCATGAACTTTATCTCCATCATATGCCCAACCAAACTCTAATCCGCCAGGTCTCAAGCATTCTCCACCACTTTTGATGCACTCATCCTTCTTATGGCAAGAAATATCATCCCCATCGTAAGGTCCTTCCTTCAACTCTTCAAACCGTTCAAAGCCAATACTGTATGCAAAAGGAACCCTTAAATTTTAATAGTAGATGTCTTTTAAGAACAATTTTCTCTCACATATTGGCATTAAATCCATCGGGCATTGGCTGAAGACATTCTCTAATCTTTTTGTTGTCATTACTCAAAATTCCTTTGAATCCGAACATAAAATCGAATTTCTCTATAAGATCGATGGCACACCCAGTCTCGCGAACGGTGTTGTAATTCAGAACTCTTAATATGTATATGTAGTAATTAAAACTTTTAACAATTCTCTAAACTTACATATCCCCATTTTCATCAAACTTTACATCACAAGAATTCTCCGTTCCTTTATAATCTTGAAGGTCCTCGTTGTTTTTCGCAATATGCCGTGCTTCGTTAAGACTCTTGATTTTGTTTCTTACCAAAGGGTGACGACCATAACCAACATCAACATCTGACATAACACAATTGAGAGAAGTCCAAATAGCCAGGAGAATAACTAGAAGAGAATTAACACGAACACGAAGCATTGAGAGAAGAAAAAGTTTTTTTGTTGTAATAGGATTTGAAGAAGATTGATAAAATATTTTAAAATTTTAAGCTTTTTATACAGATTTTATTTAAAATTAAATAAGGGCTACATTGTTTGAATGTTGTTGTAAGTTAATCATATACTTATCTGGAGCCTCAAACTTGAAATCCTCAACTTCCTTTAAATTATTTTTTCAAGTCTTGAATCAAGCTCGTTTCCGGAGCTTGTTTATTTATTTAGATTCGAGATTAGCATTATACAACATATTCGTTAGTCGAGGCACCTGACTACTTACCATCAGTGTTTATTATTTCTATGTATATTATTTTTGTTGAATGTTCCAAATAAATTTTTAAAAAATATTTTAGCATTTTAATATGAAAAGTTAAATAAAGTTTATGACATTTATAATATTTTTATCAAATATTATAGTATTTCTTATTAATTAAATACTAAAACTGACTAAAAAAATATTTTTTTAATAGTATTTAAATGTTATTTAATTAAAAACTAATTTTCAAAACTTTTTTAATGAGTAACATAATTTTACATTTAACAAATTTAAATGTTAAATTTTTAAGGTTATTCAAAAAGGTATATAAATTATTTATTTAGTCAAATTATTAACAACAAAAATTTTTAAAATAAAATTAAAAATAAATTAATTTAAAATGCAAAAATTTATTTTTCTTTTAATTGTCCTCTCTGCAATTATTGCCGTTAGTATGGGACAATCTGTAAATTATTTTTTATTAGGAAAAGGATTTTAATTATTTTTATTTTAACATTATTATTGAGGGTATTAAGGCTTAATTCTACTCTTTATATTGTTGATGCCCTGCCGTGGTAACGGCTAAAATTACAGAAATTTAAAGTCAAGGGCCATCATTAAAATAAAAGCCCCCTCCCCCTTCATTCCATTTTTAAAAGTATTTTTCCGTTTACACTTTTTAGTCTTCATCTCTACGCTTAAATCGAGAATCTAAATATATTTAACTATTTTTAAGCGTTGTCAAAAAGATAAGGATGAAGGAAATTCTGACTGTAAAAAACCACATCCTACTAAAAGCTGGTGGTATGTAAAGGCTGATAAAGAGTGTAAGGTAAATCCAAATTTTGTTTTTAAAAACAAAATAAAATTAATATTTATTTTTTTAAAGTCATTCGATTACAAAGGGTGTGGTGGAAATACTAATCGCTTTAATTCTAAATCTTTATGCGAGTCAATATGCAAGGTTTTTTAACAATTTAATTTATAAGCAACCACAAAAATATAAAAATTCATCTAATTACATAATTAAATAAATTTAAAAATTATAAGAGTTTAAAATATTAGGAAGGGAAAAGTTAGTTTTATACCTACAAATGTAGGATAAGAGACGACTGACTGACTACCTTTTTCGAATAATTACCCCTTTTTATCAAGATGTTGAAAAAATAACTAAAATAAATATTTTTAAATAAATTTTTTATAATTTTATAAGATTTTAATTTTTAAATTATTAATTTTATTTAGAAAAAATAATCTTCCTCAAATATTTTTTGATGAAAGAAAAGAAAAGAATTGATAAAAATAATAAGTTGAGTAAACAATTGTAATATTATTTGATAATTTAAATAAATAATTAATATGTATTTATTCTTACATTTTAATTAGAGGTACGATTAATTTTAATAAATATTAAATAATTTATTTTAAATTTCTTCTTTATTTAATAGGTATTTTTATTTTTTTCAATTCAAATAATTTTCTTAAAATACTAAATATAAAATTAGTTTTTAATTAATTTTTTACTGGGAATTGTATTTGGATGGCTGGCAATTCCAAACCAACAGACCAGCTAAATAATCTAAAATTATATTAAAATATAATTAATTCTTTATTTTATTTATTTATTACCCTACACGCCCGCATACATGAAAGTTTTGTAACAAAACAATTTCCATTTCCCCCACATCCCTTATATTTAAATGTCTTTAAAAACAATTTAATTTTCAAATTTATTTAAGTATTTTTAACCTTACAAACTCCCAAATTAAAATACCAACGAATATATGTTTGACGTTTACCACGACAAAAAACTCCCTCATTTTTTGTTTGATAACAACGCTAAATTTAGAAAAAATAGAAAATTTTATTTTAAATAAAAACAACTGAATTTTGGCAATTTCCAAAGGAAATAATTATTGTAAATACAGTAAGGTGCAAAAGTTTATGCGCCTGCACATTGCAGGCAGAGAAATTGATATATCTCTGGAAGAAAAGGGACCTGAATTAAATCAATTATATTTTAATTAAGGGTAGGTCATCTGTTTATGATATCCATAAAAAAATTTTTTAATACTCATGTCATTCAAAATTTATTCAAGTAATAACTTATTTACCTCAAATTTTGGGGGAGCAAAAGTTTATGCGCCATATATGAAAAAAATTTTTTTGGTTCTAAAACAAGACGAAAAAAAATTACAAAAATTTTTATAATCATTTTCATTGATATTGAATGGAAAAACAAAAAGAATGAATCCGATAAATAAGTTTTTCACCAAGATCCAAAATCTTAAAAATCAACGTAAAATCGGGGTACAGTAATTAAAAAAATATTTTCGACCCCTTATGGATTTTTTTAAATTTTTGTTTTAGGCTCATTTGAAAGCCCATAAAATTTACTACAAAATACGGTTGGTCTCCTTTGTTTGGAAAATTTACACTCCGAGGCAGGGTGACATTAATTATCAAAGAAATAAAAATGAGCATTTTATAGGGTAATTTGAGTGATTTTGACAACATTGTTTTTTCATTCGACCCTATCTCGAAGCTGAAATTTTTTACAAATATGAAACCAAGTGTATTTTGTAGCAAATTTTATGGGCTTTCTAATGTGCCCAAAAGGAATTTTATATACAGGCTCTAGGGAGCTAAAATATTTTTAGAAGTACTGTAACCTCATTTCCCGTTGATTTTTGAGATTTGGGATCTCAATGAATAAAGCAAGTACAGACTTAGTTTTTTCTCTTTTTCCATTCATTATCAATGGAAATATTTATAAAAAAATTTGTAATTTTTTTCGTCTTGTTTTAGAACCAAAAAAATTTTTTTCATATATGGCGCATAAACTTTTGCTCCCCCAAAATTTGAGGTAGACAGGTTTTGATGCTTATAATTTTTAAATAAAATGTATATTGGAAATTTTTTTTATAAATTTTAGTAATACAATACCTACCCTCAATTAAAATATAATTGATTTAATTCAGGTCCCTTTTCTTCCTGAGATAAATCAATTTCTCTGCCTGCAATGTGCAGCCGCATAAACTTTTGCACCTTACTGTAATAAAATTAACAAAATAATTAATTTTTTCATTTATGTAATTTTAATTGAAATTTGCTTATATTTTTGATTAAATATTGCTTTAATATAATTGCTTTAATATTTTAAAATTATTTATATCCAACACTAATATTTGAGGGTTTTATTGTTTATTTGTTTTAAATTTTATTTGTTTAATAAAATATTATCTTTTAAATTTTTCTTTATAAATTACTAAGATAAAATGCTTTTACTAAGGAAATTTAATAAAATTTTCAAATTAATTCAAATTCTTCACGCTTAAGAATCTCGATAAGAAGATAAAACGTGAAGAAATGATTTTGAAAGAAGCGCGTGAGCGCCGAAAGAGGGAGGAAGAGAGAGGTGAAGCTGCAAATAAGAAGCGAGAGGAAGCTGAGGAAAAGTTGAAGGAAGTAAAAGATCGTCTGAAAAAGGCTGAAAGGAAAGAAGAAAAAGTTGGGGAAGAAACAAAAAAGAAGCTGAGGAGGATGCTAAGAAGGAGGCAAAAGGTCTAAAGAAGGAGGAAGACATTTATGAAAAGATTTATTAAGGTAAAATCAAGAGAATTTAATTAAGCCCACAAAAAAGGTGATCCAAAAATTGGTTGAAGCTTGAAGGCCTGAAAAGGAAGAATCTGGGTTGCTTGATTTAATAACATTAAAAACTTCGAAAAAGGTATCAACTAGCATAGAAATTCATTTTTTTATTTTTAAGCCAATACAAATATAACCGTCTTTTTCTTTTTCAACATTTGTACGCTCTATTAAGAAATCTATCACAAAACTAGCATAAACAAAAACGGTCGCCAAAGATTCAAACAATTTTAATATTTATTTGATTTTAACAATTTTGTAGCTTTATTTAAAAAACAAAATTCTCCAAATAAAACTCATCGTATAACAAAAAATCAACACTCAACATTTCTTCTTTACTTTTACATCTTATTTGGAATAATTCCATCTTTTTGAGCAAGACGTAAAATGCAATCATCAGATTCACCCTAAAATTATGTGTTAAAATTGAATTTATAATCAGATTCTGCTGTTAAATTTTATTTTTTTCCAGTTTTTTTTAATTTTTTGATTCCCAAAACTTTATGTTAGGTTTATTTTTAACTTTGGACAAATTCTAATTTCTAAAATTTATTCGTATTATTTAAATTGTTAAAAATTATTTTCAAAAATTTTTAACCATAAAACGAAGCTTTCCACAAATAGCATAACGTGTCACTTCTCCATCAATCATACGTCCAGTAACTGGATCAACACGAACAATATCCAATTGAATAGAAGCATGGTCCTTTGCCGAAATAATCCTTGAAGAGGATGAGCTAAAATATAAAATATTTAAATAGAAAATGATTAATCGAAAAGTTGATATCAAAAGAACAAAAGTATCAAGAGTTTTTGCTTCTTAATCTACAAAAAATTTTTGTATGCGGCACTAAAAATGCCCGCACCTCTCCCATAGCCGGGAATGCCCAAGTAGGCGCAAAGCCATAACTAGCTTGAACTATAGTCGTACCCCACAAAGCCGACCGGTGGATACCCAATTAGAAAACTCCCTAACCTACACAAATTGTCCAATATTAACTTAATATTTTCCAAAAAAAAACAAACCACTTTCTCGGAATGTATAAATCAGCAAGTTCTCCAGCGTCGTTTTGCATGTTTCTTTTTTCTCAAATTTTTATTTATCTAGAAATTACAAATAAAATTATTTAGAAAATTTAAAAGGTAAGATTTGTGAATAAACAAATATAAAAAATTCAAAAAAGACATTTCCAATTCAATATATGATAAAAACAAAATAATAAGATTAAAAAAAAGGTTTAAAACAATCCTCCCAAAAATTAAAATCATTAAAAAGCCCCTTCAAAAATTCTTCTCTCACTATTTTCTACGCCTATCAGGATCTTCATTTCGCGTCGGTGGTGGTGGAGGTCCTTTACGATCGAGTAGGTCCAAATATTCATCCAATATGCGTTCACGTTCACTTGGTCGTTCTTTCAAAACCAAATAACGTGTGTCATTCTAAAAAAATGATTTAATGACAAACAAACAATTCTATAGTAATAAAACCTCCAAAACAGCCAAAATATCACGTAAATGCTGCTCATTTTCTGTTATCATTTGTTTAGATTTATATGTGATAATTTTTGTTTCGCGAAGAAGAGCTTCAAAATCATCGAGTGCTTGGCGATGACGACGCTCCATCCACTCACGATATTCATGCTCAAGTTTCTGAAAAAAAGAGATTTTTAAAATAAAACCAAAAAATCTTAAATATTCGTAAATTCTAATCTAATTTTTCAAAAATTTTAATTAAAATATACCCGTTCATCAAGTTTAAGTTTGGCAACACGATCATCTTCTATAATAGTTTTCCTCGCATTGTGCCATTTTGTAGTAAAAGTGATAAGTTGGTGCTCATCGAGAAGCTAAATAAAAAATTTTTCCTAATTGTATTTCAAAAAACCTGGAAAAAGACATCTCTTTTCTTTCTCTCCAAATCTCGAATGTGTTCACGAAAAAGTCGTTCTTTAGATTCTTTATCCAATAATTCACAATTTTGATATCGAGAATCTTTTTTCAATAATTTACGACCATCATGCCAGCTAATATCAGTGCTTCTAACCTAAATTTTTAGAAAGTTTAGCTTAACAGCTTTCTTTAAGAAAAGACGGGAAGAAAATAGAGGTAACAAAATGCTCAGCTAAACCAACAAATCCTCTAATCTTATTACAACCCCAAATATTCCAAAAAATCTCTTACCAGATCCGCAAGAAGAGCCTTAAAGTTTTGTTCATGTTCCAATAATTTATGTCGTTCATGTTCACGATTTCTTTCCTTCAAATGTTCTCCTAATTCTTCTTCAACTTGCCGCTTTCTATCTTCTAATGCCTTTTCCTCTGCTGTCTTCTCAACAATTTTTTCACTTTTTTCTTTTTCTTTCTCTCTTCTTCGACTGCTACTAGAATTGTTATTATTGCTGCTACTATTATTTTTTCTTCTCTCTCTATCACGTTCTTCATTTTCATGTTTTTCATTCAATGCCTTTTCCTTTGCTGCATTTGCAGCCTCCAAAGCCTCTTCTTCCAATCTTTTTGCCTCAGCTTCTTCTTCCTATTTTGAATTTTTCCTATGAATAAAAATGATTAAAATACCTCAGTCGGTTCTGGACAAGTTTTGGCATGCTCATCAAATAATTTTTGCCTCGTTTCGCTATCCAAATTTTTATTTCGATAACGTTCATCCTTATCAATTTTTTTCTTCACTACAGTCCAGACAGAATTTCGTCTTAAATATTCTTGTTCCTTCAAAAGCGCAACAAAACATTCCTTTGCCTATAATATTTAAATTTCCCATTATTTTCCGGTAATTAAAATCCTTTAAAATTAACCTTATCACGTTCTTTTCGCTTTTCTTCCTTTTCTTTTTTGTAAAGTTGTTCGACAAAATCCTTGAAATATGCCTCCCGATCACGCACTTTTTCCACGGCCTTAAATCTCGGATCTTTTGCCCACTTACTATTAGTAGAGAAAGATGAAAACGTTGACCTAAATATTTAAATTAAAAACAATAAATATATAAAGTTCCTCACTTTCCATGAAGTTTTGCTTCGTCTAAAAGCTTATAAAATTCAGCTTTAGCTTCCTTTGCCTTCTTTCGCTTTTCTTCTTTTTCAATTTCAGCACGTTCTCTGCAATAAGCATCGAAGGCTGCTTTACGCTCAACTGCACTCAGTAGCAAATAACGTTGATCGAATACAATCTGTAATTAGATAACAAATAATTTGAACAATATTTAGCAAAAGAAGTACCTTAGAAAGCTCTTTCTCCCAAGTACTCGTTGCACTGACTTTTTTGTCCTCTAAAAGTTGGCGGAATTGTTTAATACGTTCTTCAAGTGGGACCTGAAGAAAACAAACATTAAGATTTCAAAGAAATAATAACCTTATCGCGCTCCTTCTGTGCTTCCAATTCTGCCTGAATCGCTGGATCAATAGGCTTTTCTTGTTGCAACACAGGCAATGCTAACTTTTGCTGTTTTGGATTTTCTAACTGCAATTTCAGTTCTTCTTCGACTCTAAATTAAATTAGAAATAAAATTATAATTAAGATCAAACAAAAGTTTACTTTTTGTCTTTGCGCGATTTCTTTTTTGGTGGATGAGCAGGCATTTTCTTTTGATTTTCTTCATCAGAATTTGATGTATCGGATTCATGAACTTCAATTTCGTCATCTTCATCCACTTCCTCCTCACTTTCTTCCTTTTGAAGACGTTTTTGGGCTCGATTACTTAATTGTTCCTCTAAAAAATTGAATGATTATTTAAAAATAATTTGTCACTGACTTGCTGGAGGCGGCTTAGAAACCAATAAATCAACATCAGGGCGATTATATAGCTCTGGAGGACGTTCCCAAACAGAAGTCCGTGTGCTTGGATTGAAGAAAAATACCTGGAATTATAAACACTCAATTTCAACGGTGTTTAGAAAGATAAATAAATATAAACTCAATCCAAATTAAACTTACTCGATTGTCTCCAGTCCATACGACACACCACGGAGTGCCAGCAACCGCATTACTTGTCACTGGACGTGATTTATCCTTTTGCCCACCCTGTGGGTTTGTTAAAGCAGCCTGTGGACCACCAGTTGCAGCTGAGGGACGAAAACCTGCATATCCAATACCCATTGGAGACATGGCGGCTCCACCCATCATAGGAACTCCACCAGGAAATCCAGCCATTTGAGGCGGTACACCTCCGTTCTCTCGGATAGCGGCTAATTAAAATAAAATTTAATACTTTTATAAATTAGAGAACCTTCTTTATCAATTAATGCCTTTGGTTTTGTCCAAGTATTCTCACGCGTTATAAAATTGAAGTAATACTTTTTGCCATCTTGAGACGTAAACTCTTGCCATGCATCATTTGGATTTGTAGGACCACCAGGAAACCCAGGAGGCATCATAAACGGAGCTAAAAAGAGAGAAAATAAAAAGGTGATATCTATCAATAATTGTTAAATCTTAAAAATAAATACTCACGCATTCCACCAGGAGGTCCAGCGCCATGATGTTGTTGCATCTGTTGTTCTGAAAAAGAACAAAATTTATACAAATAACCTTCGTTACAAAATTTTAAAAATCCTAAAGTTAAAGTATCATAAAAAACAGATTGTTTTTGAAAAGAATGGAACTAGTTTTAACAAAATTTAGAATATGTTAATGCTCTATTAAAAACTCTTTTATGATACAACAACAAAACTTATAAAAACTTAAATAAATTTTCAAGTATAAAAATAATAAGTCAGGGAAATAATGAAGATGAAGAATATGTTAAATCTCAAAAGGTATTTTTAATTTTCAAAATTATCCCAAAAAAAGACAAAATTCTGATTCAAATAATTTTAAAAAAATTTTCCTAAAAACTTAAAAAAACATTTTCTTTAAAGCTTAAATCTACAAAATTCTTTACAGTGCACTATATTACTGTGACTGTGCCGGTGTGAGAAGTAAAAGGCCCATCTCTGGATTTGTTGAGAATGTTAAAAGGACGAAAGAAGCAGATTCGTCCTCCCCTCTTCTTCACCAGCCTATTATCTGTTGCAATAAAGATCACCAAAATTAAAGATAAGTGAAAAAAGTAGTAAATTGTCTAATTTATGCAAAAAAATAATTTAAACCTATTTCAAAAAATTATTTTTCAATTCTACTCCTAGTGAGCTTTGTTGTTAAAACTCGATGTTCTTATCAGATTTAACTCAATGTTTTACCATATTTTAATAAGTATTAACCTTACACGTGTTGCGACATGCAAAAGGTATGCGAAAAGAATACCTACCCTAATTCATTAAATTATTTTTGCGAAATTTTGGGGTTAACCTGCAATTGTCGCAACATCTCCCAAATAATTAATATAAATATATATCCAAACACGTTTTGTATTCTAAAAACTTACATTGAAAACCTATAATTGATTGAAATTTTATATAAAAAGGATTAGTCACATTCACCCTCCCAAATTCATTTAAAAAACATCGAAATATATTGAATAAGTCACACAACCCAAGATATCGTGAATTTTACACTCTTACATATTAAACTATATTTTGATATAAATGAGAAAAGGTTGTATGACTTTTCCAAGGTTGTATGACTTTTACGCCACAAATAATGAAACCCCAACTCCAACTAGTTCACTTAATTCTTATAATTAAAGCAGATTATTTTTAAAATTTAAATCAGAGTAGCCTTATTAACAAGTTACAAACTATTAACTTTAAAAAAATAATAGTTTAGATAAAATATAAAGTTTTTAATTGGTAAAGAGGATGAAAACAAACATCCAAGATGGAAAAAAGTTATAAAAAATAACCAACCTTTTTCCTCACGCTGAGATTGATCAACTGCTTTTTGAATCTCATCTTGTTGCATAACAACGGCATTAGAGGCATCAGGACGTTCCCAGACAGTTTGACGAGTTTCAGATTGATAAAAATATGATTTACCTTCAGCTGATTTTGTCTCAATCCAAAGCTCCTTTTCGACAGAAATTCCCAAAATCTAAAAAACATATTAAAAATGATCATTAAATTCACTAGAAAACCTTTTTGAGTCGCTCATTTTGGCTAACAGGTTGTTGCTGCGCTTGTTGTGGCTGTGAAGGCGGTTGACCATTTTGTTGATGACCATTTTGTGGAGGTTGATGCATCTGTGGTCTCATTCCATAAGGCATCGGTGGCATTCCCATTGGTGGTCTAAAACCAGGCGGCATCGGTCCTCCTGGATAGCCTCCTTGGGGAAACGGCGGCCTGCCACCACCGCCCATTGGTGGTCGAGGTGGTCCTCCTTGTCCTGGTCCCATGTTCGGCGGTCCCATATTCTGTGGTGGCCCGCCCACTGAAATTATTAAATAAAAATTTGATTAATTTTATATTATCTTATCCATAGATTTCTGCAGACTTTTGCGGACGAATTCCATGTTTTTCACGAGATAAGTTAAAATAGAAAAAGGAAAAATTTGTCCACAAAAGTTAGCAAAATCTAGCTAAATATAAGGATAATAAAGAATACTAAACCAAAAACCACCAACACACAAACCTATATTCATTGAAGAAAATGGTGGATATTGACCATGAACTAAAATTTGTTTTCCAAAAAATTAAATTTTGATTCCGAAAAAGAAAGAGAAAAAAGGACAAATAGTTAAATCAGACACCACTTTCAGGACACGAGAATGCACAAAAACAAAGATATTCAGGATAAACTGACATCACAACTCTAAGTCACTATAACAGACTCCAACAAATTAAAAGAAACCAAAGCACAATAGAAAAGAATAAACCCAAAAATAAATAAACAAACATCTCGGCGGTCCTTGATGGCCAAAATAATTATGAGGTGGTCCATCACCATAATGAGGCCCTTGCATTTGATAATTCGGAGGCATCGGTCGGAAATTCGGAGGCGGTGGACGTAACTGGTTGAGCGGCTGATATTGTCCAGGCGGCGGTCCTCCTCCATTCGGCGGCGGGAAAGAATTTCCAGGCATTGGATAACGATGTCTTGGAGGTTGCAAAAATCCAACACGAGGAACAAAATTTGGGCTAAATAAAAAATTAATAAAGAAATACTATAGACAGAGTCGTAAACAGAAAAATTATCGAATGCCAAATTTAAAAATCAATAAATTGTGTAAGGGAAAGTACCCAAATAAAAGAAAAAAACCTTTGTTCATGCGGCTTTTGCTGTTGTTGTGTTTGCTGAGCATTTGTGTCCTTTTCTAAATTTCCTTGGTCTTGATCCTCTTGTTGTTGAGATTGTTCGTCACTCATAATAAAAGTTGTATCTATAGCACTATTACTAGAAAAGATTGAAATTAGTATGAAATTAAATTAATTAAAAAACATAAACGTTGCTGTAAAAACCCAATATTCAATTGCCACAGAAAATCTTCTACATATTCAAGAATTACTTAATTAGGTCATCCAACACAAAAAATTACCATATCCCCGACTAGGCTAATCAATACTCTCGACTACGGGTACAGCGCAAGTAGGCGCGAACCATAACGGCGCAAAGCCATAATTTGCTTCAAAAATTCCTAATCTTATCAAATTTAATATTAAACGATTCTTCTCTTCAAGCTAAAGAGATTAATACCAAAATTGATAAAGGCTAGAAAATTTCCAGTAAGTTATAGCTTTGCGCCGTTATCCGCGCGCCTACTTGGGCGTGTCCCACGACTACGGCATAGTGAACGACATATCGACTTTTTCTTAAGGAAAAAAAGTCGTTTTAAAAAAATCTACAATTATTCGCGAACGACTTTTTTTTAAACACACAATGCCAGAACTACGTAAATATCGATGTTTTGCGCCAAACGATTGCGAATCGACTTTTTTGTGTCTCTTTTTCTCTAATTTCACGTTATATTTCCTTTCTCTTTTTCTATTAATTTTCGTTCGTGTAGTCTCTCCTTTGGAATTTGCAATTTTCCATTTTTATAAATGTTCAGTCCCTTTTCTGTAATTTTTAGGGATTTTTCCACATATTTATATTCTTACTATATGGAGAGGAGAAGTAAGAGGAGATGATGCCAAAAGTGGATTGAAAGCCTTTAACAGGAAGATGAGTGAAATTTTCATTGAAAATCCGGAAAGTCTTTCCATCATCAGATGTGCTGCTTACCTTGATCCTGCCGTTTGTTTCCCCACCTCCCCTAAAACAGATCTCAAATTAAAAATCAAGACAAACTTTTTTGTGAAATTAATTTATGTATCCGTGATTCAAAAACAAAGTAAATAATTATAAGGACGACAAAACAAAATAAATTTAAAGAAAAACAAAGTCAACGAGGAGATCAATCCATCAAAACCTTTTACATTAATTTAATCAACTTCCTCCATACGCGAAGCGTCCTCCTCTGCACCGGCAATCTTTTCGACAGGTTCCCCAGAAGTGCAGGGTTGTGGATCTTCAAGAGAGAAGCCAGAAGTCAACAAAGTCATCTTGGTCGGAGTCATCTTGGCCAAAATATCCTAACACTAAAAATAAAACAAATATTCCAAAATTCTTTAAACAAAATCTTAAATACCTTAATAACTTTGCAAAGTTTCTCAAATTTAACTTTATCTTCTTCAAACTTCTTTTCCTCTTCACTTTCTGGCAACTCCAAACCTTCTTTAGTCACGCTAACCAACTTCTTTCCATCAAATTCTTTCAATTGTTGAATGCAATATTCATCAATTGGATCAACCATATAAATAACTTCAAAACCTCGCTTCTTAACACGTTCAACAAAAGCTGAGTTTTGAACAACTTCTTTAGACTCGCCAGTAATATAATAAATGCAAGTCTGATTCTCCTTCATTCGTCCAACATAATCCTTCAAGCTAACAAGTTCATCGCCAGAAGAGGAAGTGTTGTAACGGAGATATTCGGCAAGCTTTTTACGGTTGACAGAATCTTCGTGAATACCCAACTAAAGAACAAATAATTTTCAAAAAAACATTTAAAAAACCTTAAGATTCTTGCTGAATTGTTCATAAAATTTCTTAAAGTTGTCCTTGTCTTCAGCAATTTCATCAAAAAGTTCGATACACTTCTTGACCAAATTCTTTCGGATCACTTTAAGAATTTTGGATTGTTGGAGCATTTCACGAGAAATGTTAAGAGGAAAGTCCAATGGAGAGAATTCCAATGGAGAGACAACGACATAGAAAATTAATAGAAAAAGAGAAAGGAAATATAATGTGAAATTAGAGAAAAAGAGACACAAAAAAGTCGATTCGCAATCGTTTGGCGCAAAACATCGATATTAACGTAGTTCTGGCGTTGTGTGTTTAAAAAAAAGTCGTTCGCGAATAAAAGTAGTTATTCGCCGCGAATCGACGAAAACGTAGATATGTCGTTCACTACTACGGCATAAAATTAAAGACAACGCTTCAGAGTTTCTTTAGAGAAAAATGCAAAAGGACTTTTGAGTGCCGATATTTAAATGCTCAAGTTTGTATGGACGTTTGATCTCTAAAATTTCATCGACATGTCCATTTTCTGTACTTTTTGATGGGTTTTTGAAAACCTCTCGAAAAAGATTTTTTGAAAAAATAATTAAATTTGTGAAATAATATTTTAACTTATCCAGCGAATAGATTGAACGATAAAAAATTGGTGAAAATTAATGAATCACTTAACTAAAAATTCAGAAATTAATGAATATAACAAATAGATGTTATAAAAATAGGAAAATGAATTTTTAAAAATTCGGATTTAAATAAAATATAAATTAATTATGGGCTTAAAAGAAATTGTTTTTTTTACAATTTCATCTTATTATTAACAATAGGGATACTTAAAAATCAAGTGAAAATGAAAAGCAATGTTTGGAGAGACCTACATAAATATTAGAGATCGAGCTGGACCTGGACCAAGGTCTGGGTTTTCTTGTACCCAGAGTCCAAGCCCAGGCATTTTTTGACCTTCCTGGGTTTTTCCTGGATTACAGGCCCAGGACCCGGTCCAGGTCAATAAACCAAACCCCGGAGTCACTGAGCAGGTCCAGGCTTTTCAAAAATCTCGACCTCTAATGCATAAATAGGTACCTAAATACAGTGCCTAATTTTTTACCTAAATATTTTACAATAATAAACCTATATATAATTTTAAAACTTTAATTATTTTTTAACAATTATTTTTTATTTTACACAATTTATTCTCTTCACATTTTAAAGTAAATATTAAACAAATATAAATTTATTTTTATATAGATTTCTTCATTTATTTCCAATTATTTTTAACTATATTGCTCATCCAAAATCATTCGATTTATTGAATAAGGACGTTGAAAATGAAGTAAATTAGCTGCTAAAGCGGCAGCAGCTAATGATGAACGTTCTGAGGGCATATTTTGCCTTTAAAAAATTAAAATTTATAAAATATTTTGGACAAAAAAATAATATTTTTTTGAATGATTTATAAAAATTTTGTCAAAATTAGAAAAACAATAAAAATTATTCATCTTTTTTAAGTTTTGATTTTTAATTTTATTTTATTTCTATTTTTAGTATAATTCTAAATTTAAAAAAGAAGGAAATTGAAAGAAAGAAAAACTTAATGAAGCCAAAAATGAAACTTAAAAACACATCTCTTTTTAAATAAAAAGAGGAAGTATTTAGAAAAATCAAGCTAGAGGTGGGGTAGTAATATAGAAGGGAACGACGTTAGGGAGAGTCTCCATCCCTAGTGATTACTAGAATTTAAAGACCGAATTTTGAGGGTCGAACGAGAAAAGTAAAGCATTTTATACTATATTTAGTAAAATCTCGAAAATGTCTAGACAGTGGTTGAAGCTCGTACCAAAATTCGTACTCGTACCCCTGTGTATGAAGTACGACCAACCGTCCAACCACTCGTCAAGACTAGGTAGGGCCCATGGATTACATTTAGCTTTATGTATCACCTCTGACATTGTCCCAATTATCAGAATTCCTTTTAATCAACCTACTTAATCCCCGCAATATACTAATATAAAAATTTAATTTAATTTTAGTCAATTCTTTTATTTACAAATAAAAAAATATTTTTTTAAGTTTCATTTTTGGGTTAATCAAAAATACTCTTTCTCGTTTCTTTCTAAATTTGATTACCGTAAAAGGAATTTGTTTCTTATTAAATTTTATCTTGTTTTAGCGTTACTTTTTCTCTCGTTTGAAAATCAAAAGATTATTTCGAAAAATAGTTATTTATAGAGATATGTAATTTTTATTTTTTTTATTTTTTGTTTCTTTCTAAAAATCATTTTAATTTAATATTTGAATTATTATTTGAATTTATTACTTTTAAAATATTTAATTTTATTTTTTTTTGAAATTATTTTAAAATTTCTTAAATTTCCACACTTTCAAATTTTTAAAAAACCTTTTTTAATTTAATTCTTTTTTAAAATTATTCTGTTTTACTTAAAATATAAAATATTTTCTCTTACATTCCACGTTTTAACATGTTATTAGGTGTTAATTGTTGTTGATTGTGTTGTTGTTGTTCTGCTAATAAATGTCCAATTAATTCTTCAGCAGAAGCATCGCCAGCAGTTAGACCCATATGACTAAGTGCTCTAGCTGAGGGAATAAGTGATCTTTTTGCTGACATTTCATCCCAAGCATAGAAACGTTTCTTCTGGAAAATTTTTGGGGAATATTTTTGGGGTATTTTATGTACATATTTTTATGAACACTTAAAGACTAAGGTTGGCAGATAGTTGGAAATCCTCGGATAACCGGATCCGATATCCGAACCGAAGATTTAGGATATCTGGCCTTTTTTCGGATCCGGATATCCGAATCCGCCAACCTTACTCGGGGCTTTATGAAAAGGTTTTTGGTTAATAAATATAAAAATTATTTATTTTTTAAGTTTTAACACATTTCTTATAAATTCTTTGCAATCAAACCTTATCCCTTTGTGGCTGAAAATCGTACCCTATATTGAAGATATCACATAAATGTCTGCGTTTATTAACTAGATTTAAAGACATCAAATCGAGGATTACCCAATTTTGGAGTTACCTAAAAGTTAGATTCGACTAGAGGATCAAAGAAACTTCTTCCCCTAACATCTTTCCCTGTTGGGAAATCTATTAACAAGGGGTGGATTCTTAAGTTTCTCATCATTATTCCCCTCCTTATCCTCGTAAATTAAATTTTTTATCCTTTTAAATTTCTAAATTTCTTACCATTTGATGTTCTAACTGTTCTCTTTTTAACTTAAAAAGGGCAATATCATCATTATTAGCCAAAAGTACTGGCTGAGCCGAGCATTGACAGACAAAGAAAAT